GGTGGTGGCACCATCATGATGTGGGGATGCTTCTCAGCAGCACCCTTGGAAAGCTTGTAAAGGTAGAGCCAAAGCAAACAGCCAATGCTACACAGAAAGTGTTTAAGTCAACAAGGTGAATGTTCTGGAGGCCCAGTCAGAGTCCAGACCTCAATCCAAATGAGAATTAGTGGCTGAACTTAAAAGGCTCTTTACTTGCAATCTAGCAAAGAAGAATGAGGTAAAATTGCAGCGTCCAGATGTTCAGGCTGATTGAGACCAACACAGGATCGATGATGGAACTGTAGCTAAATGTGCATCTGTTAAACTCTGACACATGGGGGGTGAAAAATTACTTATATTAGGTCACTTATATAACATCTTATATTTGAAATTAACTGTCATTACTTTGTAGTACACTGTTGTATGACATGGAAGAGTTTTTAATTGACCATGATTCAAGGTTGATAAGCAAGGGGGCGGGGGGAGACCTCCCAGGAGGACGCATACTTTTTATGGAAGCAACACAAGGTGCTATCTACATCAAGGCTATGTTCAGACAGCAGGCTAAAGTGACCCAAATCCACCTATTTTTTGCCCCTATGTGACCTGTATCTGATCTTTTTATGACAGTCTGAACAACACAGATCTGATGCTTTCAAATGTGACCCAGGCCACATGTGGTCCTAAATCCAATATGTATCTGATCCTATGCCACGTGACTTCTGTCTGAATGGCCAGGTCACATTTATCCGACCTACACATCATTGATACATGACAAACGTCACTATTCTCCGTTCAAGCAGACTCTGCACCCACACGTTTCTCTGTACAGACGTTGCTGCCATTCCCCCACAAAACGCCATGGCCAAAAACCTGGCTCTCTTCCTTTTTAATCTTCTCCTTTAAACGATTAACGTTGTAAATGTGCTGGCTCTGGTTGGATAACAACTTTGAAATCGTAAAATACGCTCCACCACAACCCAGTCTCACGGCAGTTTGTGAAATAGTCACGAAACTTAATCTATTGATTCGTGTCCAGGGACATATATTGCCCAAATTTTTTGTGTCCCACATTATGAATTTCAAACTAATACATTTCAGTTGGACTTATCTTTCATGTCTGGGCCACATTTTCTTTCCTATTAGACTGCACATATACTGTGATGACCTGTCCAGGGTGTCCCCTGCCTTCACCCTGAGTCAGCTGGGATAGACTCCAGCCCCCCATGACCCTAGAGAGGATTAAGGTGTATAGATAATGGATGGATGGATATGCTGTGATGTTTTTGTCTTTTTTGTCAGGATCCCTGTTCAGCCCTGGCTTGGCTCCCTTTTCTCTTCCTCTCTCCCTCACCCAGCCTGGGCCCCTCTGTCTGTCTGTCTGTCTGTCTGTCTGTCTCTCTGCCCTCAATCAACCACAATCACCCACAGCTGCAACTCTGAACTCACCTGCTCCCAATCACCTCCTTCCCATAAAAACCAGCTCTTCCCTTCACTCTGCGCCAGGTCATCATCTCATTCACTGTGTCACAGCCGTCCGCCAGCCTGTCTCCTGCCTGCGCTCCCCCAGTCAGCTTTCTCCTGCCACCGGACTCCATCCTATATTCCCCAAGCCAGTATTTTTTCCCTAATTTGTTTGGTGAATTGTTTTCTTTGTATTTCTTTGAGTTCTCCCGTTGATATTAAATTAGAAATCCTGGTTCAGTTTCCACAGAGTTCAGTTCACTTTCATATCTGTTCGTGTTTTGCTTGTTTTATTCATTTATTTAATAAACCTAGTTTTCATCTCAGTGCATTCCTGTCCACTTTGGTGTCTGCTCTTGGGACCAAACATGAACCGTGACATTTCTTTTCTTCCGACAGTCAGCATTAACCAGTTTTACTGCTATGGCCCGTCCACACTAACTATAGAGATCACGATAAAGATGTGTGCGTACACACTGACCAACGTTAACATTCTGTAAACATCGGCGCTGAGCAGCTGCTATAAGCTCCGTATCCGTTCAAATAGAAAAGGCAAAAACTACTACTAGCGAGATGAAAAGAGGCAGGTACATTAGTGTATGTTTTAATTGCTTGCTTGCGTTCTTCACCATCATTTTGGCTCTGACATGCAGAAATTTATAAAAATGTAAATTACAGTCTTGTAGGGCTGATAATACCAGGTACCGCACCAGAGACAGCCTGTGATGTTATCAGCTCCGTCGTGGCTAAACTACAAACACAGCATCCAAACTCATTCATGGCGATCTCTGGAGACTTCAACAACGTCTCCCTCTCTGCTATGTTACCAACTTTCCAG